TGGGTTTGAGATTGTGCTTCGCTGCACTCCTACTCGTGAAGATTCTTGTTGGTTATGTTTTCTCCGTTCTCTTTCCTGTTTTTCACTGTTTTTACTCCAGAATTCTCAGTATTAGTCTCCCATGTGTCTCCCTTGTTGCCTCACGCCACACACTGTATCACCCCACTCTGTCCTGGCTTGCTATAATTCCCAGTTCCCACCCAATTCATGTTTTGCCTCTGGCCCTTCTCATCCGTAGGAATCTTTGTCACCTCCTCATAGCTCTGGATTCTTGGGCTCTAAGCCTGAGGGCCCAGGCCCTCAGGCAGAGTCCAGAGATACAGGCACAGAGGCCCTGACCCCTCACATCTGGAACCGTTTACATACTGGTGAGTAAAACTGAGTGAAAGGACTATGATAGAAGGGTTAAGAATGAGATGGGCTTCTGAGCTATCATCTCCTCTCACTTGTCTTCTGGTTGGTGCTCCCTTCTCCAGCCACTAGCCGAAAGAGTTATCGGCCCAGCTCCATGGAGCCTTGGATGGAGCCCCTGAGTCCTTTTGAGGATGTGGCTGGCACAGAGGTGAGTGAGGGTGGGAGGGTGTCTGAGCTGGGACTTCTTTGAACACTGGCCATACTTCCCCACTTGCTCTGGGTTGAGTTGGAGCTGTTCTCTCACTTGGTTGTCCCTTCTGCAGTTTATCTGTGTGCATCAGTCAGGTATTGGGGTGCTTTCTACCTTGACTTAACTAACTCCTTCTCCACTCCTCTCAGATGAGTCAGTCTGACAGTGGGGTGGACCTGAGTGGGGATTCTCAGGTGTCATCAGGTCCCTGCAGCCAGCGAAGTTCCCCTGATGGAGGACTCAAGGGGGCAGCAGAGGGACCCCCCAAGAGGCCTGGAGGCCCCTCACCCCTGAATGCTGTTCCTTGTGAGGGTCCACCTGGCTCTGAACCTCCTAGGAGACCGCCACCTGCCCCCCACGATGGGGACAGAAAGGTAAAAGACTAAAAAAGGATAAGGGAAATGTTTCCAGGAATCTGACTTTGGCCCTACCTTTTTCTGCTTTTTCCCTCTGCGTGTGTGTGGTGGGCATTCCAATTTAGATTTCCTTTCCCCTCCCCCAACCCACTTTACTGTATGCCCAATCCAGGAGCTGCCCCGGGAGCAGCCTCTGCCCCCTGGCCCCATTGGCACAGAACGATCACAGCGTACAGACCGAGGCACAGAGCCTGGCCCCATTCGGCCATCCCATCTTCCTGGTCCGCCAGTCCAGTTTGACACTAGTGACAAGGTCTGTGTGGGCTGGATATGGGTGTCCTGAGTTGGGTGGAGAGAAGGGAAGGACTAAAGGTGGTACATAGAGGACGCATGTCTGTCATGGGACAATGTCTCCTGCCTTGTTGTGATCACAGGACTCGGACTTACGCCTAGTGGTAGGAGACAGCTTGAAAGCAGAGAAGGAGCTAACAGCATCAGTCACTGAGGTAAGTGGGAGTAAGAATTTGGTGGAAAGGCCCAAGATTGCCAGAGAAGATTGCTGGGAGTGACCAGGGCATCCAGGATGCCAGACATCCCTCTCCACAAGGCCTTTCCTTCCCAGGCCATTCCTGTATCAAGAGACTGGGAGCTGCTTCCCAGTGCTGCTGCCTCTGCTGAGCCACAATCCAAGAACCTGGGTTCTGGGCACTGTGGCCCGGAGCCCCCCTCCTCAGGCCAGCGTCTGTATCCTGAGGTCTTCTATGGCAGTGCTGGGCCTTCCAGTTCTCAGGTAGGCCCCACTTCCCATTGCATGACCCCTTCAGTAAATAATCATTTTTTTCTGCCTGGTACGTATTTATAATCAAGCCTTTCTATGTTGTAGAGTTGTGAAATACCACACTGTCACATCATTTTTGTCCCTGCGTTCTGCTGCTATGGGTGGGATGGTGATCTTTTCTTGACCACAGATATTAAAGATGTTTCAACCCTGCTCTTCTGCAGATCTCTGGGGGAGCCATGGACTCTCAATTACATCCAAACAGTGGAGGCTTCCGCCCTGGGACACCCTCACTGCACCCTTACAGGTAAGACTCGATACCTGTGGACCACAGAAGTACTTGGAGATGTGTTTCAGGGGAGAGAGAAGGGGAAGACACAGTTCTAGGGTACCAGAAGCTAGTGGACTTAAGGCATTGCTAGGACTCTGGCTTCCTAACAGCTTTTCTCCCCACAATTTCTTTCCAGATCACAGCCCCTATACCTACCCCCCGGCCCAGCCCCTCCCTCGGCACTGCTCTCTGGGGTAGCTCTCAAGGGCCAGTTTCTGGATTTCTCCACACTGCAAGCTGCAGAGCTGGGGAAGTTGCCGGCTGGAGGAGTTCTCTACCCTCCACCTTCCTTCCTCTACTCTCCGGCTTTCTGCCCCAGTCCTTTGCCCGACACATCGTTGCTTCAGGTAAGAGAGGGGCAGGTGTTAGATATTGGGGGATAGGGGTGGGGAGAACGATTTTGTAGGGGTTGATGTATTTCTTCCCATTTCCCAACAGGTACGCCAGGATCTGCCGTCCCCTTCGGATTTTTATTCTACTCCTCTGCAGCCTGGTGGCCAAAGTGGCTTTCTCCCTTCAGGGGCTCCTGCCCAGCAGGTATATTGTATCTTCCCACTTCCCCTTCATTTGATTTCTCTGTCCAGTCACTGGCTTTGATTTTCCCTGGTTTTCTGACATTCCTTCCTGCCCCCAACATGCACACCCAAATTTCTTGTTACAGATGCTTCTACCCATGGTAGACTCACAGCTGCCTGTGGTGAACTTTGGCTCCCTGCCGCCAGCACCACCTCCTGCCCCACCTCCCCTTTCTCTGTTACCTGTGGGCCCTGCTCTGCAGCCCCCAAGCCTGGCTGTGCGGCCCCCACCTGCTCCTGCTACTCGGGTGCTGCCTTCACCTGCCAGGCCCTTCCCTGCTAGCTTGGGGCGAGCAGAGGTAAGGTACAGCAACTGAGGGGCTAGGGAGTGCCAAGATGTAGGAGTAGGGATTCTGTATTTCAAGGCAGGGAGTTCATGATTTTTCTTCCCTCAGCTGCATCCAGTGGAACTAAAGCCGTTCCAGGATTATCAAAAACTGAGCAGCAATCTTGGGGGACCTGGGTCATCACGGACTCCCCCAACTGGAAGGTGAAAGGGAATAGGGATGTGGACTTTCCAAGTGCTTCCTTACTTTGGGACCAGGGTCTGGATCCTGGGCGTGCCTTAGATGTCCTTCTCTTAGGTCCTTCTCTGGCCTCAATTCCCGTCTCAAGGCCCCGCCTTCCACCTACAGTGGAGTCTTCCGCACCCAGCGCATCGACCTTTACCAGCAGGTAAAGGAGAAACCCCTGTGGCCCCAGCTCTAAATTGGAGTTGCCACCTGATTTCCTGTCCTTCCATCCCATCCCTGACCTCCCACTATGACTCACTGTTTAACACATGCCTGTCCTCTAGGCCTCCCCACCAGATGCCCTGCGCTGGATACCTAAGCCTTGGGAGCGGACAGGGCCGCCTTCTCGAGAAGGGCCCTCTAGACGGGCAGAGGAGCCTGGGTCCCGAGGGGACAAGGAGCCTGGGTTGCCCCCACCCCGCTGAGGGAGTTCCTCTTGCCCCCTACCCCCGGGGCTTGTATATAGATTATAAATATATAAGGGGGAAAGGGGTGGGGGGAGGGGTTGTGGGGCTGGGGCCTCACTTCCCCTCCTTCCCCTTCCCCTGGTCCCTGACCCTGGGGCTGTTTGTTAAAAAAGAGTAATAAAAGGATTTAAAAAAAAGTTCTACAGTGATTTGGGGGATGGGTTGTTGGCATTGTCTTAAAAGCATGGTGCTTAGTGATCTGTAGTTTCAGTGAGGGAAATACTCGTTACATTCCAGAGAGCTGTTGAAACTAAGAACATGACCATCATATTGGATCATTAAATTTTTGTGAGTCAGGAATTTGGGCTGAGCTCAGCTGGATAAATCTTTTTTGTGCCAGTGAGGTCAACTGGTTATCAGTCTGCAGCTGACACCTGGGCTGGTCCCAATATGGCTCCCTTTGCTATCTGGGGCCTTGGTGGGACATCTGTAACATTACTGGATTATCAACTAGCATCTTCACCTGGATTCTCCAGCAGACCTGTGAGCTCATGTTCCAAGAGGTCTAGGTGGAATCTGCTAAGCTTATGCAATGTTTAACTAGCCAGGGTAGGGGATGGGGGGTGAGAACGGACATCAACTGCATCTCACAGAGACTAGCAAAGAATTTGCAGCCATGGGACTTTGGTCCTTTATGATGAACTAAGGGGAAATCTCTGTTAAGGCCTCAATGTTGGAGCACATTTAAGGGGCTCTTTGAATTGGATAGACCAATTGCAGCACTGTCAAACTAAGTGGGATTTCACATGGTAACATTGCATGCTAGTTAATGCTAAGACTACAGTAGGTCTGCAGCTGTTCAGAAACTTTGATGACTAATTTGAGAGCTCTATCCTAGCATGCACCTGGAATATGCTCCCAACTCAAAATACAGGTCTTTTATTTACATATAAAGTGCTTTTGCACAAAAAAAAAGTCAAAACTGGTTTGTACAATTCAGCGTGCTGGGTGAACAAAAGTGTCCATATGCTCACGAGATACAAGCTTTCTGGTACTCCAAGGAAGTATTAATTTAAAAAACAAGTTCGGCCGGGCGCGGTGGCTCAAGCCTGTAATCCCAGCACTTTGGGAGGCCGAGACGGGCGGATCACGAGGTCAGGAGATCGAGACCATCCTGGCGAACACGGTGAAACCCCGTCTCTACTAAATACAAAAAAACTAGCCGGGCGAGGTGGCGGGGGCCTGTAGTCTCAGCGACTCGGGAGGCTGAGGCAGGAGAATGGTGTAAACCCGGGAGGCAGAGCTTGCAGTGAGCTGAGATCCGGCCACTGCACTCCAGCCTGGGCGACAGAGCCAGACTCCGTCTCAAAAAAAAAAAAAAAAAAAAAAAAAGTTCACACAAGATTAAGGGACTCACACTACTTAATGGAGACAATGTAGAGAGAGAGCAGCCAGAAATATCCGACTTTTATTTCTTAAATACTGTGAAGGGGGGAAACGGTCCCCTGATGAGGAAGGGCCATAGAGCAAAGAGCTAAGGATCATCAGCAAAGGCCCGGTGGGCATTGGGGAAGCGCTGGGGACTGTAGTTGGGGTCTTCCTGCAGTCGTTTTTGTATATCAGACCGGAGCTAAAGAGAAAAAGCAAGCAGGTTGGAGAAACACTGGCCAAGTCCCTATGATCCCAGCAAGCAAACAAGGCCATCCCTCAGAAGCTAACATTTCCCCCACCAAGCACACTGTCAAATAGCCCGGGGTGGCATTGTCAAGCCTTCCCAGATGCCAAAGGGGAAAACAAATGGTAGCACCAGGGTGACCAGTTCATCGTTGAAGGGATCCAGGGAAGAGGGACCCTAGCCCAACCCCTCCCACTAGACCATCCCTATTCTGCTTCAAGGTGGGGGCACCTGCTGCCTGTAGCTCTCCTGAACCTCTGGTGCCTCCAGGTCCCGGCTCAGGCTCTCGGGGCTCGTCAGGGGCCTAGCTCCGGCTGCCTTAGCTGCCCGGCTCACAGCCTCTGAGAGAAGCAGCTGGGGGCCCTCACCCTGCATCGTCTGGGGGACGGGGTTGGGAGGGAAAAGAGGATCAACGTCAGATCCAGTGCCACCATCCGGCTCACCCTTTCCATGAGTCAACCACTCCACTGAGTCTCCATGCTAGTGGAGAGAGGGGAAATAGAGTCCAGGATGTGGTTTTTACAGCAGAAATGCCTTCCTAATTCCCCTTGGCTCTAGCCAAAACCAAAGTGAATGTGCTTGAACGTGCTCTTCAAAATGAGAGGCAGAAGGGATCAAGCTATCTGGGATTCAGAGCTAGATAATTCACAAGAGGAAACCCACCTTAAAGGAAAATGGGATCTAAGCACATGGGGATTAGGCAGCTGAGGAACTAATACAGGACTGCTAACAAACAGACTGTCAAGTCCTGTATGGTTATGCAACAACCAAGAGCAAGTCTGAATCCCAGAAAAGTTTCCTCATTAAAGGAGGGGAGGGGAGGGGAGACTGAATAACAAGAGCTCCTACCATCTCTAAATAGTTTAATTCCAGGCATGACGGGGAAACCTGGATAGACAGAGAGGCTTAGGGAAGAGGAAAACCAACCTTGCGTCTCTTGGCAGGCATACCACTGAGGTAGGCATCACTCAGAGGGGGCTGTGGTTTCACCTTCCGCTGGCTCTGAATGTCCTGCTGGATAATAGGGACCCATTCCTGGGGAGGAAAAGATGAGAAAGTAGTAATGCCCTTGACTTTCAGCTGCCTTGACCCACTGGATTACTTCCTGACACTTACTGGGGGGACTGCAGCTGCCCAAGGTTCTGTCTCAGCTGAAGCTCCATCCTGTTCATCCCGGGAGCCCCCCTCAGGAGCAGGAGGTGGACCTCGGGACATGGCCTCTTCTGCTGTTGTTCCAGGGGCTGGGGAAGCATTCTCCCGCTGAGTGTCAGATGGTGGGAAGAGCCAGGCTTCAGAATTTTTAGCCTCCAAACCTTTTTTTTTTTTTTTTTTTGGAGACAGAGTCTCGCTCTGTCGCCCAGGCTGGAGTGCAGTGGCGCGATCTCGGCTCACTGCAAGCTCCGCCTCCCGGGTTCACGCCATTCTCCTGCCTCAGCCTCCCGAGTAGCTGGGACTACAGGCGTCCCACCACCCGCCCGGCGTTTTTTTGTATTTTTTTTAGTAGAGACGGGGTTTCACTGTGTTAGCCAGGATGGTCTCGATCTCCTGACCTCGTGATCTGCCCGTCTCGGCCTCTCAAAGTGCTGGGATTACAGGCTTGAGCCACCGCGCCCAGCCACCTCCAAACCTTTCTCCCGCAGCCCTCCACTCCACATTATCTGGCCCCTCAACCTCCCCCTCTCCCGAGTACCTGAGGCTCAGGGGAAGCTCTTTCTGCTCCCTGAACTTCCATTGGCTCCTCAGGAAGAGGCTGTGAAATTAAAGAACAACATATTTTGGCTGGGCACGGTGGCTCACGCCTGTAATCCCAGCACTTTGGGAGGCCGAGGCGGGCGGATCATGAGGTCAGGAGATCGAGACCATCCTGGCTAACACGATGAAACCCCGTCTCTACTAAAAATAAAAAAAAAAAATTAACCGGGCGTGGTGGTGGACGCCTGTAGTCCCAGCTACTCGGGAGGCTGAGGCAGGAGAATGGCGTGAACCCGGGAGGCGGAGCTTGCAGTGAGCCGAGATCGCGCCACTGCACTCCAGCCTGGACAACAGAGCAAGACTCTGTCTCAAAAAAAAAAAACAACAACATATTTCCTCTCAGATCTCTCCAGTTCTCTCAAGTACCCTGACCCCACTGCCCAACAGGTCCCTTACCTGGGGGGGATCACCAACCCTGCGAACGTATCTGAGAATGGCATCAGGGCCTACGGGCATGTGCTCCAGTACCACCTGAAGCCTCAGTCCCATCATAGTGGTCAGCCAGCTCACCAAGGAGGGATTCACCCCGCGAGACATACGACGCTGAGGGGCAGAAAGCAGATTTAGAACATAAAACCCTCAACCACCTTTCCTAATATATTAGATCTGGGGTATAGAACATCAGTTTAGAAAAGAAAAATGGAAACTGCAGAGAATGGAAACCTCAGGAAACAAAAGGCTAAGGACCTGGGGCTAGGTGGTGCTTACAATTCGGCCATTGATAACAGCAGCAAGCTCCATCTGCTGTCCCCCCAAGCAATGCAGATTCAGGGCCAGGCATTCAAACAGGCCTTGGTTACACAACTCCAGCAACCGGGCCCCAAATCCACTATCTGTGGGCAAAACACAAGGAGGGAATGCTGACACATGGCAGCCCTGCACATCCAACAGGCCCCACTTGCCCCCAGCCTGGCCAGCCACTGACCTGTGCAATGCAACACATGAGCAGCAATGCTATTAAACTGCTCTTGGAGAAATTCCAGGTTTGTCCGGATGATGTCCACACCTGGCTGAACCTGCACCAAGGACTGAGAAACAAGATACACAAAAACAGGAATCGTAAGACTGGGAACGGAGGAGGCAGCTGCCTTGACCAGACCCAGGAGAGGAGGGGAATAGAGAAGGGTTACTCACAAAACTCTCCCGCACATACTCTTCTAGCCCCGTGATCAATGTGTGGGTTGCCATCTGCGGAGGAAACAGAACAGGTTTAGTTCAAAGCCTCAGTCCTCCCAAGACTTCCACCTTGACCCCAACAAGTCCAGGGCTTGTGTGGGGGCAATTGGAGCTTTACCTGGCAGAGAAGCAGTCAGAAACAAGGAATAAAACGTGCAAAGGAGGAGAGCTCGGGGGCCCCTGGCCTTCATTTACCCGGATGTTACTGGGGGTGGGCTCCTGACCACCCAGGTAGTGTTGGTGGAAGAAGGATCGCAGCTGGGGTTGCAGCCGTTGTAGTGGCTGAAAATGCCCATGAAGAAGCATCACTACGTCCACCATAGAGAAGTTCTGGCACAGAAGAGAGAGCAGGGCCCCAAAGAATCCTGGAGGACAGGGGCAGATGTTAGCAATCGCCTTTACCACCTGGCTTGCCCAACCACAACCAGGTGTTAACGTCATCCCACCTTGGCAACACCCCTAAACCAAGGCCATCTACCTTCCTCTGGCTGCCCCTTCCTGGAGCAAGCCAAAGCACCCCCTTTTGCTCACCAAGGGCCCCATCAGCTCCAGGCTCAAAGATGTTGCTGGATCCACTGAGGCGTTGTATGAAGGCAGCAATACTTTCACTGCTGCCAGCCCGAGCCCCCAAGGAGCCCAGCAGGGAGCTCAGCACACCCTGCACCACTGAGGTAAAAAACTCCGGTGATAGGCTCTCAAGACCCAGGCCTCCAGGACTCCCTGCCCCACCAGAAGGGGAGCTTGGTGGGGGCATGGTCTGCTGCTCTGGGGCAGGTTGTGGGGGTGGAGGAGGTGGGGGTGGTGGAGGGGCTGTCTGTGTTGCCTGGCAAATAGAAAAGGAACAAAGAACAGAAGGTTGAGGTGAGAACGCAGATAGGGAAATAATACGGCATCAAGAGGGCACAAACATATGGGTCTGGGAAGATGGGGAGTTACATTCTGATCTTCACCGCTTAGAGCAGAAATATGGTAGGTATTTAACAGAGTCAGGCAGCACAACTACCTACTTCTTCCTCTGAACAGGTTGTCAGAAAGCAGTGACACTAATTACTACACTTTCTTTTTCTAAACCTCATTTTCTTCATCTTTAAAATGAAGGGTTCAGAGTCAATGAATTCCCAGGGCCCCTTCCCCTACGTGTCACTAGGGGCTCTTACCCAGTGGTTATATAATGGGAAGATATTATATATCTTCTCCTGGCTGGGCCAGGAGACAGGAAGGGTGAGGTGAATGGCAAGCCAGCCACTCACCTGCAAGAAGTCAGTCATGCCCTGGAGAAAGGCAGGGACACCAGGCATCGCCACAGTGATAGTGGGAGAAGCCACACCAGGCCCTCCAGCCCCTGGTCCGGCAGGCCCTAGCAGGTTCCCCAGAAGCTGAGAGAACTGAAGATCAGCCGTGGAGGGTTGAGGGGTGGGTGGAGGCTGGGCAGGCCCCCCAGGGGCGGGGCCAGCTGTGGTAGCTGTGTTGGTGGTGCCAGCACTGGCAGAAGCAGTGGCAGGGGCTGGTGGTGGAGCCATTCCTGGAGTCCCCTGAGCTGTAAGAACCAAAAGAAAAAAGCTGGGCTGAGCATGGTGGCTCTCGGCTGTAATCCTAGCAACTCTGGGAGGCTAAGGCAGGAGAACTGCTTGAGCCCAGGAATCTAGGCCACGTAGCAAAACCCCATCTCTATCAAAAAACAAAAAAAGACAATTACTAGCCAGAAGCTAGTACTGCTAGCTACTCAGGAGGCTGAGGTGGGAGAACTATTTGAGCCCAGGAGTTCAAGGTTACAGTGAGCTATAACTCACTGGATTGCACCACTGCACTCCAGTCTGGGTGACAGAGCAGGACTCTGTCTCTCAAAAAAAAATAAAAAAGCTGGCCAGGCACGCTGGCTCAAGTCTGTAATCCCAGCACCTTGGGAGGCCGAGGCAGGTGGATCATGAGGTCAAGAGATCGGGACCATCCTGGCCAACATGGTGAAACCCCGTTTCTACTAAAAATATAAAAAATTAGCTGGGTGTGGTGGCACGCACCTGTAGTCCCAGCTACTCAGGAGGCTGAGGCAGGAGAATCACTTGAACCCAGGAGGCAGAGCTTGCAGTGAGCCAAGATCGCACCACTGCACTCCAGCCTGGTGGACAGAGCGAGACTCCATCCCCCTCCCAAAAAAAGAAAAACATTGAAACCTAAAGACAAACAAGACACTATAGCAGCCCCATTCCAGTAAAGCAGGAACCAAGAAAATACAGAAAGAACTAGAAAGTGCCAATAAGCAGACTAGGAAAGGAATTTAAAGTCTGAGTGGGGAAGAATGAAAACTCACCCACAAGGACTGGCTGCATAAGAAGCTGCCCCACAAGGCCGCTCACCATCTGGGCCAACGAAGCATTGGTACCCAGCCCGGCGCCCTGCTGGATAGAGAGCAAGGAAGGACTTCAGACCTGCCCTTCCATGCACCACCACAGGAGTCTCTCCCTAGACTGTTACGCACTAGAACTCCCCAACCCTTGCTCACCAGTGTCCCAGAGACTGGGGGCCCTCCAGGATGAGAAGGCCGAGCCTGTGGAGGAGTGGGCCGGGCAATCACCACCCGGGTTGGAGCTGTTGGGAAGCCTGGTACCTGCTGTCCTGTGGGTGGCAGAAGAGAGAGACCGAACAGGGCTGAGGGCCAGGCCCTTGCCAGCCAGCTGCCACCACGGACTGTGCCCCACCTCCCAAGCCTCCCCTTCCAGGTCATTACCTGCGGCCGCGGAGGCAACAGCTGCCACCATGGCCTGATGAGTGATCTGGTGGGCGACGGCGTGCATGAACTCAGGGGGCAGGGAGGGCAGCTGGATGAGGGTGGAGCCTGGGGGGCGGGTCTGATGTAACCTTGAACCTGGACCCCTTCAACCCACCCACTCAGCCCTTCCCCTTCACTACCCAGAGCTCAGCCTGCCCTGATGCCCTCACTCTTACCCAGGGTTTGGCCATGACCAGGGGGCCCCAGGGGGCCAGTGGGAGCACTCGGAACACCACCAGGCTGTGTGCCAGAATCTGGGCAGGGAGACAGAGAGAGTAGCCCTGAGGTAGGTAGGGCCAAGGCCTAACTATATCCTCCTGAGATCAGGCATACTTCAGGCCCATAATCCCCCAATCAGAAAGCCTGCTTTTCCCTCCATCTAAACAGGGAGAAGGTGCTCCCTTCACCATGCAAACACATCTCCAAAAACAAAGCAACCTGTCCCCCACATCCATCTACTAAAGTTTCTGCTCTGGTCCCCAGGCTACCACCACCAGCATGGGCCTCTCCCTTCCCCACCCTGTTTCCTCACACCTCGACATGAACCTCCCTCAACATGCTGATTCTGCTCTTCTCGCCAGCAACTGATCCTAACTCACCTTGAATGTTCATGTGCATCATGACCACGGGTTCCACGCTCTGGTGGGAAATCCGGATGACCCTCGGGTGGCTGGTGGCTGGCGGGGGAGCTGGACCTGGAGGGGGAGCCCCCTCAGCTGAGGACTCGACATTGGTAGAAGACGGAGCCGTGGATGAGGCCTGCCCAGGACCAGGGGGAGGTGCCTCCGCATTGGGAGTTGGGGGGGGCCGAGTCCCATTTCCTGTCATGGTCACAGTGGTTCCCACGTTGATCTGAAAGACAGGCAGAAGTGAGAAAAATACAGAAGCCTAACCAAGAAATCTTCACAATAAACCTCTGAAGTATCTCCAACCTCCATCACCATGTTTCCAAAGTCTCCTCCTTTCCTAACCTCCTTCAGGGCAAGTAGCTACCCTGGGTCACTCTATCAACACCCCTCACTCTCCCTCAGGCCAGACTCCCTCTAACCCACCTGTATGGGAATGGCTGCCTGCTGGAGCACCATGGGGGTGGTGTAGTGAGACATAGGCCGGACTACATGCAGGTGTCGTGGGGGCGCACAGGCCAGATTGCAGCGCAGGTCAGACAGTGCAACAAAGGTGTTGCCCAGCAGTCGCAGGCTCTCCCCCACCAAGTTGATCAACCGCTGATCCTCCTCCCGGCCCTCGTGCTGCACACCCCAGTCAAACACAAAAGGGCAGAAAATATCAAGCTGGAGTCCATCTCACTAATGAAAGCAATAATGCCTTCTAAGAATATCACGTCCTCCAAAACTTTCAGTTATATCCTTGTAAGTTCATATGCAGACCAAATCTTTGCAAATAAATTACATCTTATTCACATGAGAAACATCCTATTGAAACACTACAATGAATCAGTAAGTCATCATATACTGATTTCCTTTAAACTTTCTGAATTCATTCAAAGGCACAAAGGGTACAAGGACAGTGGTTACAGAAAAGATTATCACCTTCTCCGTAAGGGAGGAAAAAAATCACTTACAGGTTCAGAGGGAAATTGTTTTGTTGCAATGTGTGTGTGGTTTTGTTTGTTTTTTGAGACAGAGTCTCGCTCTGTCACCCAGGCTAGAGTGCAGTAATGAAATCTTGGCACACTGCAACCTCCTCTTCCTGAGTTCAAGCAATTCTCCTGTCTCAGCCTCCTGAATAGCTGGGATTACAGGCGTGCACCACTACGTCCAGCTAATTTTTATACTTTCAGTAGAGATGGGGTTTCACCATGTTGGCCAAGCTGGTCTCAAACTCCCGACCTCAGGTGATCTGCCCACCTTGGCCCCCCAGAGTGCTGGAATTACAGGCATGAGCCACTGCACCCGGCCCTGTTGCAATGTTTTTCGAGGGAGGGAAAGAGTTATCTGTATTTCAGCCTGTTCTGTTTTAGGAGTACTGGGGCTAAGGAGAAAGGGCAGGGCCATCAAAGGGCTCACATTGTTATTATAGTCCGTGGTGGCAGCAGCACCCAGAACCTCGTAGTAGCGCTGCAGGAAGGGCTGGAGGCGACTCTCCAGCCGCTGTAGCTCTTGGAGCACCTCCACATACTCCGCAGGGGAAGGATGGCTGTGGACAAACCCAAGGGGCACTGAGTCAAAACTTTCCTCAGATTCCCAACCTCACAGTCAACAGGGACCACATGTGCCCTCCTTCTCCCTGGTCTCCCAGAGCTCTGGCCCAATCCTTCTCTGGACCAGCAGAGCTTCTATTTTCAACCTCCGCCTCCTGGGTTCAAACGATTCTCCTGCCTCTGCCTCCCAAGTAGCTGGGATTAAGTCGCCTACCACCACACCCAGCTAATTTTTGTATTTTTTAGTAGAGACAGGGTTTCACCATGTTGGCCAGGCTGGTCTTGAACTCCTGACCTCAGGTGATCTACCCGCCTCGGTCTCACAAAGTGCTGGGATTACAGGCGTGAGCCACTGTGCCCGGCCAAAGCTTCTATTCTTTACCCCCACCCATGAGAGGATGGGGAGAAGAAAATGAACTTCTCCCACCCTCTCCACCACAATCCTGCACCTACAATGGTGAGAGACTAATTCTAAGAAAAAAAGCAAGCCTACGTGAACTCAGAGAAGATAATTCTCATCAGGCTCAGGAGATACTATTTGGATTTTCTTGCCATAGGAGAGCAGTTCTTCTCGGCTGCCTGTCCTAGCGTCATTTACCTATACCAAGAGAGCCCCTCCCCGCCCCTCAATGGTAACCTTCAACTAAGACCTCCAAGTAATCCTTTCCCTCCCTTGCCATGGTTCATTTTCTTCTCCCCATACTTCACTTAGGATTTCCCACCCCCTAAAGATTCCCTCCATCTCTCACTTGGGTGCGTTTGTTTCCGGGGCAGGTGTTGGGCCCACTGGGGCTGGACCAGGAGTGAGCTCCGGGTTCTGGGCTGGGGCACGCTCCTCCACTTCTTCTGCCTCCATGGGCTCCCGAGGAGGTGCTTCACTTTCAACTGGTTCTGATGTTTGAGAGCTCAAGGCTACTGGCTCCTGGGTCACAGCTGGTGGCTGCGGGGGTGGCTGACTGTGCTGCGGTTGGGGTCCTCCTCGACACTGAAGGTAGGGGAGAGTCAGAATACCAAAAGCAGGATAAGACTGCTGCAGAAGATTACTCTGCAGGAGACTGGACAGAGAAAGTATCCTAACTAGACTCCCTGAAGGCATGGCTCTGCAATTGTATCTCTAACTCTCTAGCAACTAGCATAAGACTGACACAAATTAGATGCATAATAAGCATCTGTAATTTTTTTCTTTGAGACACTCTCTCACTCTGTTGCCCAGGCTTGAGTGTAGTAGCGCAATCTCAGCTCACTGCAACCTCCGCCTCCCAGGTTCAAGCAATTCTCTTGCCTCAGCCTTCCAAGTAGCCAGGACTACAGGTGTGTGCCACCACGCTCAGCTAATTTCTGTACTTTTAGTAGAGACAGGGTTTCACCATGTTGGCCAGGCTGGTCTCGAACTCCTGACCACAGGTTATCCCCCTGCCATGGCCACCCAAAGTGCTGGGATTACAGGCAGGAGCCACCATGCCTGGCCACAGCATCTGTAATATTTGTAAATAACTTTCTAACAAAGAGTAGTGACTGTGGTTTCCTGTCCTCCATAAGTTGGTTTCCCAGCCTCCACAAGTTAAGAATGTGGAATCCTTTAACTGAAAAGAGATGCCATGAGACAAGTCGGAAACAAACTCCCCGGATACCAGGCAGGTATGGCAGAGGACTGGCAGAAATGAGAGCGCCTCACAAAGATACTTCTTCTGCCCAGAATAATGAATACTGCAGAGAAGACTACATTATGAGGGCCAAACCCTGTGGATGTGGCCAGTCAAGCCCCAACCCCCAGGATGAGAGAAAACGGAGAGGGAGGGTGGGGAGAGACCCTAGCCAACCTTGCCCACTTACCTCCATCCGGGATAGTAAGGTCTGTATATCCCTGATCATGTGTTGAGCCATCACCAGCCGTACCCGGGGCTCACTCTACAACGAGAGAAGGTTGATCAGGGTAGGTTACAGATGAAGCCATGAGTTCTACCACCTACTAAATCAGGTCCCAGCCATCTCTCAGTCAGGTCCAACCCACCTCCCAGCCTCCTTCTCCCAGATCCCCTTCCCTGACCCTCGGAGGCCCCTCAATACCTGAATCGGGGCCTGTTCCATGTTGATGTGAACATCCACAGCAGAGCCGTCACTCTGGGGAAAGGGTAAGGGAAGTTGTTCTGGGAGAAGCCAACACTAAGGCCTCCACACCTCCAATTCATTCCCTGGAGCCCCGCCCTCTTTTCTCCTTAAAGACTGAGACCAATAGCACACCACAGCGCCCCCTGAACCCAATCTAAAGATGGAAGCATCTATCTTATTCCCTGTTGCTACCACAACCAAAGCTATCCACAAAACCCCTCCCCTGTGGAACATAAGCTTACAGGAAGATTGAAGGTTCCAACCATGACATAGCTGTTGGCATTCCGGTCATGAACAGAGGCCCCAGGCCCCCGAGTACCAGGCGAGGGTCCCCCACCATGAGTGGCTGAGGCAGACCCCGTCCCAGAAGATGCCCCAGAAGGGAGCTGAGTCTGAGGAGGAGCCCGTTCCACCAGGTGGATAACCTTTCCCCCAACATCTGCAGAAAAATAGACACACACCGAAACATAGTATGAACAGGTAAACCCACGGCCCCAGTTCATCCCTCCAGACAGCAGCCCCAACCTCTGAACTGCCTCCCCAGTCCCCTTACTGTATTCCTGGAGCTTCTTATCATCTTGCAGAACTCGTCCCTGGTAAATGAGCCGTTGTTTTTCAGACGGGATGCTGACAGAGGCAGCAATGTGCTCCTTAAACTCTTTTACATTCATCTGAAAGGAAGAGGAGGCATGCACAGGAATGGAAAGAATGGAAGAAAAAGGAAGAACACAGATAGACAACCAACTTGTGGAGGTGAGATGTAAAAACTACCCCAGAATCACTACCCACTAGTCTTGACTGTGAGATAATTACTGTGCAAACCCTTAAACTAAAGTAACAGCTGTCAAAATACAGACAATAAACTTGGCTGGGCACGGTGGCTCACATCTATAATCCCAACACTTTGGGAAGCCAAGGCAGGCAGATCTCGTGAGGTCAGGAGTGTGAGACCAACCTGGCCAACACGGTGAAATCCCTTTTTTACTAAAAAATCCAAAAAAATTAGCCAGGCGTGGTGGTGGGTGCCTGTAATCCCAGCTACTAGGGAGGCTGAGGCAAGAGAATCACTTGAACTCAGGAGACGGAGGTTGCAGTAAGCCAAGATCGCATCATTGCACTCTAGCCTGGGGGACAGAGAGGGACTCCATCTCAAAAAATTAAATAAATAAACTAAATGAAGCTCAGGTTATAGATCCAGGAAAAACAACACGGATGAAAAACAAAAAAACCACCTGGACATTATATTCTCTGTCTGGCTCCCACGGGAATTCCCAAGAGAATATGTGTCTAGCAACATCAGTGACCCCTTTCCAAACACAAAATGATACAAGTTTATTTACCAGACTCTCCTGTGATTTCCAAGATTAAAAAATGGCAAAGAAGATGGGGTCTGGAATCAGGTGAATGAAGAAAGACTAAGAAGATAAAAAAGTAGCAAAAAAGGTCCCGGCACAGTGGCTCACACCTGTAATCCCAGCACTTTGGGAGGCTGAGGCAGGTGAATCACCTGAGGTCAGGAGTTCGAGACCAGCCTAGCCAACATGGTAATACCCTGTCTCTACCAAAAATACAAAAATTAGCCGGGCGCAGTGGTGGACATCTGTAATCCCAGATACTTGGAAGGCTGAGGCAGGAGAATCACTTGAACCCAGGAAGCAGAGGTTGCAGTGAGCTGAGATTGCACCCCAGCCCTCCATCATGAGCAACAAGAGCAAAATTCCACCTCAAAAAAAAAAAAAAAAAAAAAGGTAGCAAAAAGAGAAATATTTTTCCTAACCAGAGACTGACTCTTGGGAAGTACCAGAATGTTTATACACAACTAATCACAAGTCTATACATAGCTTTCTTATATCCAGGTAATATTATGTTTTAGAAAACCATGGACCACCCCACATGCAATTTGTCTCCAAGTATTACAGAAATAAAGACAGATAGCTAGGGCCGGGAGCGGTGGCTCATGCCTATAATCCCAGCACTTTGGGAGGCCGAGGCAGGCAGATTACCTGAGGTCAGGAGTTTGAGACCAGCCTGACCAACTTGGAGAAACCCCATCTCCACTAAAAATACAAAATTAGCCAGACATGGTGGCACATGCCTATAATCCCAGTTACTAGGGAGGCTGAGGCAGGAGAATCACTTGAACCTGGGAAGCGGAGGTTGCGGTGGGCCGAGATTGTGCTATTGCACTCCAGCCTGGGCAACAAGAGCAAAACTCCCTCCCAGGAAAAAAAAAAAAAGACATAGATAACTGTGTCCAAGGCTTTAAGCTCAAGAGACTCAAGATGTGACACCAAAATTAGTAATTTCACTCAACAGTCTATCAAGGACCTATCTCCAGTATGGGTTCTGATTTCTACCCTTCAAAAACACAGCATAAACCTGACTGCTTTCTATCAATAACACACACTTGCTTAGGGTCCCTGTGCTGTTTCCCTTCCCAAAGGCCAGAGCCATGTCTGTCCCTTTGGGCTGGGGTCCACCCATGATGACGACCCGCATCTTCCTTCCTCTGTATTTCCCTCTGCATTAAGTTCTATCTATGTGGAGGACAGAACAAAATCAGTCTCACTCACAAAACATCAAAAAACGTTCGACTGGAATACGAAGGGATCAATAAAAAGAAAATCTGAGGCCAGGTATGGTGGCTCATGCCTGTAATCCCAGCACTCTGGGAGGCAGAGGAGGGCAGATCACCTGAGGTAAGGAGTTCGAGACCAGCCTGGCCAACATAGTGAAACCCCGTCTCTACTAAAAATACAAAAATTAGCTGGGTATAGTGGCACACACCTGTATCCCAGCTACTCAGGAGGCTGAGGTAGGAGAATCGCTTGAACATAGGAGGTGGAAGTTGCAGTGAGCCAAGATCGCGCCACTGCACTCCAGCCTGGAAGACAGAGTGAGACTCCATCTCAAAAAAAAAAAAGAAAGAAAAGAAAAGAAAAGAAAGAAAATCTTATCACCAAAAATCAGGCTCATCTCTCAGGCTAAGGAGCCTAGACGAGGAAAAAAAGCTAAAGGTGTCTTCCAGAACTACTGAGGTGTCTCACCTGGGCCCCCACAATAAAGGTCCGAGTTTGAGAGTCCAGCGTCTTCACCAGCACCTCCAAGCTGTCAGGCTCCTCCACAGAGGTACTGGTACTATCATTAGGCTCCATGGCCGACACGTCTCTAAAGAAGAACGAAGGAAGGGAGGCCCGCTGTTGCCCAGCAGAGTGTACCCGGAAGACTCCCTAGCGTTAATCCCTGCCCCAATACCTAAAAAGTTTCTCCTACACAAACACACACATTCACACCTGTCCCCATCCCCCCTCTGATTCTGGGGCGCAGGGAGAGAAACACAAAAGGGCAGGAGATCGACGGCATAGGGAGCTGGAGGACGAGAGGTGGGAGGGGCTCCATGATGCCAATCACAATAAGCGTGGAGCCAGTCAGATTAGGAAGGAAGCACGAGACCAGCGACTAGTGTCATCACCGGTCACGGCAGGACAAGCACCCCAGAGGTCGGAAAATCCTGGGACTACGCGAAAGCGGTGGTCGCGCCACACTCTGCGGGGAAAGTGGTTTCGCGCACGCGCGCCACGCCCATCGAACCCTCCTAACTCTCTAGACCCGAAACGGCACTCACGGGGCCACAGACCTGCTAGCTGACTGCCCGCGTCTCCTGCCTTCCCACGGTGTTCCAGCAGAACAGCACAACTAACCCACAGCCAAATACAAACACACAAACACACACACCCCCCCCACTACCCCGCGGCTCCGCCCCCGACTTCCCCACGGACCGTCACTTCCGGTCTCCCCCAAACCTGCCACCGACGGCCACTTCCGTTTCCCCGATAGTATTTGGGGATCTCGAGGCGATACTTCCGGCTCCCCCCAGGTCCCCAAGCTTTACTTTTGTGGGGCACGACGAGAAAGTCCGCAGCCCCAAACAGTGAGTTTCTGAGGGCGAGTCGGGCCGGGGCCGGCCTAGGTGGGAGGGAGCCGAGCACCCAGAGGAGCCGCCGCCGCCGTCGCCCGGGGGACCGTACTACGCCTGCGTGTGTCGCACTACGCATGCGTAGACACTTAAGCATCGCCCCCCCCTCCCCCCTCCCCCACAACCCCCTCGGCGGCGTTCACGTCTGTGCGCGCGCTTGAGCGCTAGAAGATTGAGGTGGCTACCGTAAATGCCTGAAAAACAATCACCAACTGGGACTCTACCACTGCTTTGAGAGGGGCTATGGACGGTCGTATGGACCTTGGACTTTGGAGATGGGGGATTATGCCACATTAATCTATGTTTAAATCTTGGCAGGCCGAGAATTTCAGGCGGCACTGTCCTAGCTAGCTAAAACTCTTCTCCACCTTTTCGCCCTCGCTGCGCCCTTTCTTCTGTGCCTCCGGAAGTTACTCTTACAGTAGGCGTTTGGGGGCGGCACGGGACGATTTTGTTCTTGGTTGTTTGGTTGGGCTAGATTTCAGTTCCGCCGGGTGGGCGTTTTGCGGGCTGTGGGCGTCACATTCGTCACCGGCGGTGTGTGGCCAAGGGGACATGACACGTTTTAGGAAAACTAAGCGTGCTACTACATTGCAGGATTTTTGTCAAAAAAAGAGGCGCCTCCGAGTTTGAGAATTGGGAGCAGATGGAGTTGGAGTGGACAGAAAGACAAGACCCTGATCGTGGAGAATTTAAAGGCCGGCCAGCGTGCTTCCGAAGGCCGGGGGTGGAGGCATTACCGCCTCTCCGTGCCCTCTTAACCTGCCCTGGGACAAGGGCCTCGACCCTGCGAAACTTCGAGTCCTCCCGAAAGACACATCGCTGCTGGGGTGCCCATCCTTTCTGGGATTCGTAGTTTATACCCAGGTCCTGGTTATGTTTTAGTTAAGAGTTCTAATAAGCATCTGTTTAATGAGCACTTGTGCCAGCCGATATACTACGCGTTTTGTGGGGGGGGAGGGGGGGTTTGTTTGTTTTGTTTTGTTTTTTTTGAGACGGAGTCTCGCTCTGTCGCCCAGGCTGGATGCAGTGGCGCGATCTCGGCAACCTCCGCCTCCCAGGTTCACGCCATTCTCCTGCCTCAGCCTCCCGAGTAGCTGGGACTACAGGCGCCCGCCACCACGCCCGGCTAATTTTTTGTATTTTTAGTAGAGACGGGATTTCACCGTGTTAGCCAGGATGGTTTCGATCTCCTGACCTCGTGATCCGCCCGCCTCGGCCTTCCAAAACGCTGAGATTACAGGGGCAGGCCTTGTGTATTATTTTAAAAAGCCTTTTAACATAAGCCTTTAACATTTTTTAGGTGAGTACACTAAGACGAACATGAATGTCAGAATTGACAAATCGAGGCCAACAGGACTCCAGATCGAGCACTTGTACTTTACTGCCCCAATAAAAAAGTGTTACATTTTAGCTTTTTTATGTATTTTTTTGAGAGAGGGTTTGGCTTTGTCGCCCAGGCTGGAGTACACTAGCTCAATCACAACTCACTGCAGCCTCTGCCTCCCGAGCCCAACCGATCCTCCCACCTCAGCCTCCCAAGTAGTAGGGACCACAGATGCGCACCACCACACTTAGCTAATTTTATTTTTATAGAGATGAGGTCTTGCTATGTTGCCCAACCTGGTCTTTAACACTTGGCCTCAAGCAATTCTGCCACCTTGGCCTCCCACAGTGCTGGGATTACAGGTGTGAGCTACTGTGCCTAACCACATTTTAGCTTTTTATTACAAAAATTTTCAGCCGGGTGTAGTGACTCACACTTGGGAGGCTGAGGCGGGTGGATCATGAGGTCAGAAGTTCAAGACCAGCCTGGCCAAGATGGTGAAACCCCGTCTCTACTAAAAATACAAAAATTAGCCTGGTGTGGTGGCGAGCGCCTGTAATCCCAGCTGCTCGGGAGGCTGAGGCAGAGAATTGCTTTGAACCTGGGAGGTGGAGGTTGCAGTGAGCCGAGATCACGCCACTGCACTCCAGTCTGGGCAACAGAGCAAGACTCTGTCTCAAAAAAAAAAAAAAAAAAAAATTCAAACATTACACCAAAATAAAATAGTATAATGAACTCTAATACACCAGTCACCCAAATTTTGTTTGTTTTTTAACTAAATCGCAAGCCTCACCCCACGGCAAATTTTTTGTGGCTGTCCATGGGATATAAATTTATCAAGCTAGGTGTGGTGGCTCATGTCTGTAATCCCAACACTTTAGGAGGCCGAGGCGGGCCGATTGCCTGAGCTCAGGAATTTAATACCAGCCTGAGCAACATGGTGAAACTCTGTCTTTACGAAAAATTAGCTAGGCATGATGTCGTATGCCTGTAGCTCCTACTGGGGAATCATCTGAGCCCGGGAAGTCAAGGTCACGGTGAGCCGTGATCGTGCCTGGGTGACAGAGTGAGACCCTGTCTTAAAAATAAATAAGTAAATAAATAATCTGTTGAGGAAGCCCCACCTCTCACAGCATTAACTGCTCCAGTCACTTGGTGCTATTCAATGACAGCCTATTTGGCAATTCTTACTGCCTATTATTTGAGAACTTATTACCCATCAGAAACTAAGAGTTTTGCAAACATTACTATTAATTATAGCAAATATATACTTTGGACTTACCATGTGCAGGTCTTTGCTAAGGGCTTTATGTGCATTATTTCATTTAATCCTATAAGATTGATGATTTGCCAATTTTACAGACGAAAAAACAGACATAGTAGTTAGGGGTTGGTGGTGTTTTGTTTGTTTGTTTGGAGACAGAGTCTCACTCTGTCGCCCAAGCTGGGGTGCAGTGGCACAATCAGGACTAATTGCAGCCTCGACATCCCAGGCTCAAGCAGTCCTCCCACCTCAGCCTCCCTAGTAGCTGGGACTACAGGCATGTACCACCACATGCGGTTAATTTTTGTATTTTTTGTAGAGACAGAGTTTTGCCACGTAGCCCAGGCTGGTTTTGAACTCCTGGGCTCGAGCCATCTGCACACCGTGGCCTCTGAAAGTGCTGAGATAACAGGCATGAGCTACCATGCCCCGCCTGTAGTTAGGGTTTGGACACATTCTGCCTGACACCAACATCTATCCTCTTTTAACAGATTATGTAGCCTCTTTGTAGTAATGAATGTTGAGTGAATGTGTCAGTGAACATTGCCAGGGTATACATATTTTTCTAATTATAAACTGAAGAGAACAATCCACCGTGCCCCAGCACCTGCATCATACACCTGCATCATACCTGCTCTAAAGCACTTACCGAGTTGTATTGCAATGGTTTGTCTACACAGTTAGTTTTCCCTAGAACGACTTATTCAAGGCCAGGGGCTATGTCTTACTCCTTTTTTTAATGTCCCCAGGGATTAGCTAGTTCTTGGGAAACAACGGGGACTCAAAATAGTTTGCCAAGTGAATGATTGAGAGGTCCAATCAAGCTACTACTTCCCTTCAGTGCTGCACAGTGCAGCAAATAACCAGCTCAGATATGGGTTCAAAGACCACAGGTTTCTCCTTGGACAGCTCAGCTCTCCTCATAACTCCATAGTATGGAGTGGTTGCATCTGGAAGAGGGGGAGGAAGTTCCAAATACTAAATAATCCAGGTTTGGGTTGGAAAACAAGGTTGAAGTTACTCATTAGCAGGTGAAAGGGTCAAGGGTCGAATGCAAGGGAGCTGAAAGCAGAGTGGACTGAGCAGCCAGTAGGGGAGAGCAGTTAAGGCACACACAGCACCAGCTCCCTCCTGCCTGAAGATGTTCCACCAAATTTGGGCAGCTCTGCTCTACCTCTATGGTGTTATCCTTAACTCCATCTACCAGTGCCCTGAGCACAGTCAACTGACAACTCTGGGCGTGGATGGGAAGGAGGTATGGACTGAGATTGGGGAAGCCTATGGTGGAGGCTCTGAGGGACTCGGGTGGATGGCCTAGAATGACTGGAGACTGTCTTGGGAAAGGAAGGGAGGAATGGGGTGTGAGTGTTGTGATAATGAAAGCAAGAAGAAAAATATCAGTACTGTGGCCATCAATGCAAAGGCATGGCAGAATTAGGGGGTGGGGTGATTACCCAGGTTGGTTGGAGAGGGACAAAGAGGAAAAGTCATTTAATGACTCTGTCATGGATCCAATCCCAAGTTGGAAAGAGGAAGGCAGCCAACACCTCTACCCCTAAGTCTTGCTGTCCTGACTGATAAAGAGGTTGGACCTATCCTGTGCTGGCATCCACCCTCTTTTGCTCCCTTCATTGTCTCTCCAGTTCCCAGAGGTCCACCTGGGCCAGTGGTACTTTATCGCAGGGGCAGCTCCCACCAAGGAGGAGTTGGCAACTTTTGACCCTGTGGACAACATTGTCTTCAACATGGCTGCTGGCTCTGCCCCGATGCAGCTCAACCTTCGTGCCACCATCCGCACGTGAGTGGTGAGGAGGCAGAAGCATCACTAGGTTCAGTCTCTGCCCAAAGTGTGAGAATCCACCCACCAAGAGCTGGCCTCTTAGCTGATATATCTACTATACTTGGCCCACAGAATTCAATGGCTGTATTAATTGCCCTCTGGAGAGAGATGTGCCTAACCAATGCTTGGTAGCTTGAAACCCAAGGAGAGCTGGGCTTCAATAAGGAGTACAATTGAGTAAACAGAAGTTGGGACAGGCTAGGCGTGGTGGCTCACACCTGTAATCCCAGCACTTTGGGAGGCTGAGGCGGGCGGATCACAAGGTCAGGAGATCGAGACCATCCTGGCTAACACGGTGAAACCCCGTCTCTACTAAAAATACAAAAAATTAGTTGGGCATGGTGGCGGGCGCCTGTAGTCCCAGCTACTTGGGAGGCTGAGGCAGGAGAATGGTGTGAACCCGGGAGGCAGAGCTTGCAGTGAGCCAAGATCATGCCACTGCACTCCATCCTGGGCTACAGAGCGACACCCAGTCTCAAAAAAAAAAAAAAAACCAGAGCTGGGACACTGTGGTTGGGGTGATGCTCATTCTTTCCTCCTTGCCACCACCACCTCTGCAGAAAAGATGGGCTCTGTGTGCCCCGGAAATGGATCTACCACCTGACTGAAGGGAGCACAGATCTCAGAAC